TTATGGGAAAATTTGCTTCAGGTTGCGAACAAATCGGGTTGCGACCAGAGTCATGGAACGGATTAAATTCGTAACCCGAGGTACCACTGTAGTTTAGTCTTGATGTTATCAGAGGCTGAACTGAGAATGTGTGTCTGATGTCCGTTTGTTCTTTCTTTCTTTGAAATTCTTTAGACACTGTGTGGCTGGAATGGGGCTGGGGAAAGGTCAGAACCACGAATTACCGGTCAGCGGTGAAGTAGATGACAATTCTCTTTCTCCGGAAGCATGCTATGACTGTAAAATCAATGGCTACCCGAAAAGGGGAAGGAAACGGCGAGGCATAAATGAAACAGATGCACTTGATACAGAGGTGAGTTGCGACTTAGCCTTCCAACCTGGAGTAACATTTACGTAGTTTCCTGAAATCCATCTTGAGCGTGCTTCTTTCACAATTCTTTTCCCATGGGTAAAGTTACTGTAGGCTGCCTTTATTATTTTAAACTCACAATGCTAATCAAATCAGATAAAAACTTTATTACAGTCAGAGACCAGCATGAGGATGCTAATATTTATTTCACACGTGCCTTCACAATATGAGGTCTGATAAGTTCTGGGTGAGGGAAGAATCAGAAATTACATTGCAATAAATCTCTTTTTAGTCACTCAAATTGCACACAAGAGCTCTCACAGCAAAGTCAAGGACTTGACTTTTAGATAAAAGAGATTGTATTGCAGATATTGAGTAACCTTAATGATAATACAGATCAGCTTCTACAGAGTCTAAGAGTCTAGCCATATATAGGTTATCCCAAGGATTAAATACTACATTTCTTTTTCACACCCTTTGATTATAATAAATTACTTGCCACTTGTTTCTCAGGCTGGACTGTTGATGATACCTGATGTTGTCTAAAGAAAGGTTTTGTCTGATCCCATGCTCCTAATTTCTCCTCTTGCCAATTTCAGGTCTCACTGGAAGTTAGTTAAAAACTAATTTAATCTTTCTATGAAAAAGGCAGCCTTCCGTGTGCCAGATTCCTCTTATATTGTGCATCACATATGTACAGAAATACATC